GTGCAATAGATCTATCCAGGCCTCATCACAAAATATAATCCATGCTGAGAAGACAAATGACCTGAGAAAATGGGGCGTGAGCATGGAAAGACAAGACTTGGCCTCGCCACTGCTCACGCTTTTACCTATTTTTGTGTCTGTTCATTAAACTCTGTTTATTCATTCCTTTTTTTTTTCAGAAAGCCCCTCTCAGTCCCAATTAGACATCACGTTCAGAATTTCTGGGTCTTCCTGGCACGCTCTTGGACTCACTGAAAACAAGAATTGTCTCTCCCACCAAACAAATCAACAAACAGATTTGGCCTCTTTAATTGGGGAAATCAGAAGTGCAAAGGGGAACCCGCGGGGGAAGCCCTGCGGGCGACCGCTCTCCTCCAGCAGTGTAATGCAATGGGAGGAGAGCAACGAAAAAGTAAAAGTGGCAAAAGTAAGAAAAAAAGGACTAAAAATAATTTAAAAAGTTATGTGGGGTAAAAACACTAATGGCTGTCTAGAGGGAAAAAAATCTCCATAGTGGAAAATGCATTGGAAATGTTGCAAAATCTACCAGGTAGCCTGGATCTCCTGGGTACAAACCCATCCTTGCAGACTGGCCTCTCAGTGTCCAGTTCTGAACAAAACTGCTGTTTATGCCCCAAAAAGCTGCCTTGCCAAGTGCAGCACGAGTGCTGTGAGACAACGGGCTTGCCTGAGATTTCAGCACAGGTCTCATGTCTTCCTAGGGAAGATGGATTTGCCAGCAGCAGCTGTCTCATCACATTGCATTACTAAGATGAGAAAACTGCACAGACTCCAGGTAACGTTTCTCTCTGCAAAACTGCAAGCTGCTTGGTCCTAGCAAGGAGTTTGCTTTGTTTTCCTGTCTTCTCTTCTTCATTGGAAGCAATAAAAACATTCTGGACTTTACAATGAGGGTGTCACACTGAATAGAGGCCCCCAGAAGAGTTGAGACTATTAACATTAAAGAAAGGAATTTCTACCGTCTCACACACAACTTTTGATTAATGAATTTTGGCACATGAAGGTTTAGGGGGGGTTCCGCAGTGTAGCCCAAAGAGTCCTGGCCAAGCAGGTTGCTGCAACACTTCTCATACTGGTCTTTTACTCTCAGAACAACTTACTTCCGAATGCGTTCCCACTACTATGGCCTTGCCAATAGCCTGTATTTGAGAGATCCAAAATATAAAGAAAAAAATGGAAAAAAACCCTCTTGGCGCTGCATCCTTCCTGGTGACTTTCCCATTGCCAGCTTTGAGGCCTCATCTGAGGCACCATAGCCTCAAATTCAGGGAAACCTTCCCACCAGCAAGCATTGCAAAGCGACCCGCACAGGAAGGCCACGTATTTATTTTATTTTTAAAAAGAGTCATCAGTTCAGAAATGGACATATGAATCTGAAACCTTTAATTACATATTAAAACTCTTCACCCCAGGGCTGTTTCTGTCTTCATTACGATGCAAACCAAGTCGCCTCAAGGCGTATCTGAGCGAAAAGGTTGCAAAGCCCCAGCCCAAGGTTAAATCAAAGCGGTTGTGGGTCCTTGGCCGCAGGTGTCAGTGTCAACGGGAGCCTTAGGGAGCTGCCGACCGCGGAGCCGGGAGCAGTGGAGAGTCAAGCGAGAGGCGATAAATTACTCTGGAGAAAGCAGAGTGCAAGCCCAAACCTTTAGCTTTCCAGAAAAAAAATAAGCATGGGCTATATTGGATGATTAATTTATAGAGAAGCCTCCTTGAAAGTCTTGCCATCAGTAACACTGTAGACAGCTATACACGTGGCTGGATTATACTACCAGGAAGGACACTAGAGAGGAAACGATAATTTGCTTTTCCAAAAACATTTCCCATAGGACTTTTTATTTGATTAATTGCTTGCTGAGGATGCCTAAGAGGATCTGTTTCTAAAAAGTGACCAAATACCCATGCTGCTTACTAACTGTCCAAGAGTTGAACTGTTTTTGTGCACTGGCTTTTCTCGACCAGAAGAAAAAGTAGTGGCTTTATTTACCTTAGAAAAATACACTGGAAAACTCAAAGCTTAAAATGTGTCAGGGATTAGGAACATCTTGCAAGGTAGACCTATAATGAAAATTAAACCGAGATGCATCATTTCTATCAAAATCAGATTATTTATGAGTGAATATGGGTGACTGAGCCTTGCTACAGCGTGCAGGAGCTGAAGGGGCGACTTTCATGGAAGTGTAAGATAGAACGGAGATGGGGAATAAAGTTAGAAACAAGTTGGGTTTGCCACTTTGGGTTTGCATTTGTTATGGACTTCCTCTGGTAAGTGATAATCATTGGAAGAGGAGGAATTTATTCCCTTTGCGATTAGGATAAATACGAGTGAGGCTGGACTATAGAAAAGATTAAAACACACAGGATCCAAGTCAGTAAAATCATTCAGAGGTGAAGAACTGGGAATAGGGGAGTTCTGACCAGCCCTTTTCCTGGTAGGCATGTGTGTGCCTGGGAAGTGCGAGCACAAGGCAGGGCAGGAATTGCTGGGCAGAGGGGCCACTTCCAGTAGACCCAAGAATAGGAGGGACCAGGAACGATGCCCAGCTGCAAGGCTCTGGTGTCTGAGGAGGCTTGCTGTGACCCACAGACAAACGCTGATGCTGTTGAGCGCTTTGAGCCAAGGCTCAGGCCTAATGCGCATTTTGGATTGAAGATCTCTTGACCTCATTTACAGCTCAGGGAATGTGTTTAGTAGCCCTTCACTCTCATCCCTCCATCCCAGCATGTGTATATAGCCCATTCACTGCCCTCTGGAACCCATGTGGCCACTCAAACCTCTTGGAGATGAACCCTGAAGGAGCTCAAGGCCAAGCCTGGTGGCTATACGGTTCTGGCAGCACAGGGAGATGCTTGAGAGCCATGAGGAGCAGCTGGTGCCACCACGGCCACAGGCTGCACAGCCACCATGTCTGCTCATTGCACTGGCGTTACATCCATCTCCTCGTGCAAACCCAGGGAACCCTATCTCCAGTTGGTGTTAAAGACATCACAGATCCCTTCTCTGGTTATATTGGTTTATTTAAAAAAATCCTTTTTTTTCTATAAAATATACAAAAGTGGAAAAGTTAAAAAAGTAGAAAAATATCAGCACAAGGATATACAAAGGATGTGCCATCGGATCCATCATCTCAAGCAGTCCCTGCAGAGAAGACCCCACAACATGTGCACAGCCCTTCGTTGAGCAGCCCAAGCACCTTCCCCAGCGCAGGATCAATCCAAGGAGCCAGGGCAGGAGTCTATGAAAGGCTCGAGCAGCTGCAGCCAGCTCCAGTTTTCTTGTGTGGGTTTGGCTACCACTTTCAAGGCCCTGGACCAGCTCTTCTTGTCCCAGTGCAAACGGTGTTGGGGTGGAAATGCCCAGCTTGGTCCCTAGGGCTGGATCCATCACTTCATCAAATCTGAATGCCTGTCAGAGACACATATCTGTTTGCAACAAGGGGTTTATCAACGGGGTCTCTAGGGGGGAAAGATTCTCCTCTTCACTCGCTACTTGACCTGTTGTCCACAAACCTCAGTCACCAGGGAAAAAGGGGGGTTAAAAAGCACCCAGCTGCAAAAACAACTTTTCTGGCACCCTCCAATGCTGTAAAGTTTCCCCTGATGAAACAAAGTTTTGAAACCTTGGACACTATCCTACCCACTTGAAGAAGAGCTATGGGTGTTGCAATTTAATGTCCTCTAACTGGGTTGTCTTATAAAACACCACCACAAATAAAAGCAAAGAGATTAGGGTCAAACTGCTTTAAAGGTCGTTTTGGAAGACTGAGCCTTTTTGCATGAAGTTTTTCTTCCAAACAGCCCATGTACAGAGGAGAAACTTGACTGAACTCCCACAAAATTGTCCCTTCCTTCCCGCCGGGGCTGCCCTGAGCTTCACCTCTGCACGCCGGGCACTTTGCAAAACCATTGCGCTACAAAACCCTTTGCTCATAAAGCTTTTTCTTTGCCTCCACGCCAGCATCCTGCATCTGCCACCAGTTAGCTTCCTGCATGAGTTGCTTCATTTTGCTGTTGTTGGTTTTGGGGGTAGATTTTGCTTTATTTTTTTTTTTTTTCTAACGCAGAAAAAAATCTGAGCTTCATATTTCGGGCTTGCTTTCTTGCGAGCTACAGCAGGACCATTCTCAACACTTGATTTAACAAAGCTACTTCTGCCAGGAGCTAAGAAGAGGTGGGGAAGGAGGGAGCACAGAAACAGTGAAAACCAACATTACATAATTTGCAATTTTGTTCTCCTACAAGTCAAGGGTCTGGACAGCGGCCCCCGAAGACAGCAGCAGCTGAGGGAGCAGAGGGCCCAAAGTATCCCAAGGACGGAGGATGACCCTGCTCCGCAGGGATGAAGGCGGTGGGTGGGATGCTCCGGGTTGCAGTGGTCCCCGAGGCCGGAGCGCCGCTGGGGGGAGGCCGCCCGTCGGGAAAGCGGCAATTAAAGCGCTCCACAGCGGGGATCCAGATTAATTTTGGATGCTCGATTAAATCCCACAATCCGCACAGAAATTACTGTCAGCTCCGTGGGCCGGCACAAAGATGCGCTTTTGTGCTGGGCGGAAAGGAAGGGGGCTCTTTGGGTCCCTGGTGCCCCCCTTTGTGGCTGAGCGGAGCTGTCTGTCTGTCCCTCCGTCCCCCTGTCCCTCATCCCCTCCGGCAGCCCCCACCCTGTCCCGCCCGCACATCCGCGGCCGCCGCGAACTCGCTTTTTAGAAAAAACGGAGAAAAATGAGGAAAACGCCGCCCCTGCCCCCCTCCCCCCCGGCCTCCCTCCTGCCTTTTTAGCGGAGCCCACGGGGCATTTCTATCCCCCCGCGGGTGCGCAGTTTGTCGTCGGAGGAAGCAGCGATCCCGGTCGGGGGGGAGACCCCCAAAACCGGTCTTTAAAGTCCGCGGGCGACAGGGAGGCGGGCGACGGGGGGAGGCAGCGGCGGGGCCGCCGTCCGTGTCCGTCCGCGCAGGGACAGACCGACAGCCCTGCCCCGCGCCGCTCACACGTCGGGGGGACCCCGCAGCGTCCCGACCCCCTCGTCGGCCGCAGCGGCCTCGGGCCGCCGCCTCCTCTTCCTCCTGAAGTTGCCGTTGTCGAACATTTTCCCGCAGTTGGGGTCCAGGGTCCAGTAGCTGCCTTTGCCTGCGGAGAGAGAGCGGGGCGCTGGCGGCGGGCGGGCCGGGGCGGGCCGAGGGTGCGGGGCGCCCCTTACCTGGGTCGTCCTCGTCGCGGGGCACCTTCTTGAAGCAGTCGTTGAGCGAGAGGTTGTGGCGGATGGAGTTCTGCCAGCCCGCGCGGCTGCGCTCGTAGAAGGGGAAGTTGTCGGCCACGTAGCGGTAGATCTGGCTGAGCGTGCGGCGCCCGTCGGGCGCGCTCTGGATGGCCATGGCGATGAGCGCCGAGTAGGAGTAGGGCGGCCGCGCGGCGCCGCGCGCCTCCCGCGCGCCCGGCAGCGCCAGCCAGGCCGGCCCCGCGGGCGGCGCCGCCGCGGAGCCCTCGAGCCACGCGTAGGGCCCCGCGGGCGGCGGCGGAGGGGCTGCGTACGGGCCGCACTGCGTACGGGGCTGCTGCTGCCCGAACGCCTGCATGATGCGCGGCCGCGTGCGCCCCGCGCGCGCTTAAGTAGCGCCCGACCCCCCGCCACGGCCCACGCGTGTCCGCGCGGCCGCCCGCCCCCGCGGCAGGGGGGTGGGGAGGGGAGGGGGCTCCCTGCGGGGCTTCGGGGCCACCTCCGAGCCCCTCGCCGGTCCCACCCCGCGGGGACGGGCAGCATCCCCTGGCCACCCGCTGCAGGAGGCATCGGGCGGCCGGGCAAGGCCCGAGCCCCGGGGGCTGCAGGGGCGCCCGGGCCCCGCCGCCGGGAACGCTCAGGAAGCGGGGAAACGCTGAAACGGGGCAGAGCTGCCCCGCAGACATCCCCCGGAGCAGAGCCCGTGCGGGAACGCTCAGGAAGCGGGGAAACGCTGAAACGGGGCAGAGCTGCTCCGCAGACATCCCCCGGAGCAGAGCCCGTGCGGGAACGCTCAGGAAGCGGGGAAACGCTGAAACGGGGCAGAGCTGCCCCGCAGACATCTCCCGGAGCAGAGCCCGTGCGGGAGCTGTGCAGCCGTGCAGCTGGCGCTGGACCCCAGGAGCGGCTACAGGTCGAGCCTCAGCAACACCGCAATGCACCCGCTTCAACTTGGGCAATAGCTCTGTGGCTTTGGTCCAAGCCATCCCTGCCCAAGTAACCCCCTGCCCAGATCCTAAAACCGACCCGCGGCTTCCAGCCCAGCCCTGGCTTTACAGCCCTAGGACGAGACCAGCGCTCTCCAAATTGCTCTGTTCTCACTGGAAGGCACCGCAGCCACCGGGCAGGGGCTCCCCAAACCACTTAGTGTCCAAACACTGGGATTTTTCAAGAGAAGCAAAGGATTTTCTTCTTTCGGGGCTACTAGCATGAAGTTAAAGGTAAAATTCACCTTTTGTATATTGCAAACCATGCAATGATCCAGCCTTGGTGGCACGTGACAGGCAAGAAAGCCTGTGTGTAAATGGGACTTTCTTTTTTTTTTTTTAACATATGCTATAAATACTTAAATATATTTCTGCTGTATTTCTTATTCTCCTTTTAAAATGCAACTTTTTGGCTATATTTTCTCCCTCTGATGTTAAAATAGTAAGAAAGCCATCCATGAATTGTTCGCTTTGGATAGAAGGCATAGTTTGCAGAAAAATGGATTTTTCCTTCCATTCCCATATTTATTCTTGCTCTAGAGTACACCAATCTTTCCGAAATTACAGAGATAAAATCCTGACTTCACCAGCAGCCACAGCAGTACAGCAACACATACCCAACAGGTTGGGTATTCCCTGACCTGTGGCAGGGAATTAAAATACTCCAGGCTGCATCACATGAATAAAATAAATAAATAAAATAAATGCACATTCTTAATGTGTTGGTTTGTGTTTTGTGTGGGTCAACACAAGTGTGAAATGAAATACATTTCCCTAGACTTTCCTTGTGTTTTCAGTAGCGTTCTTACACCAAAGTCTTTTTAAGAAAAGCATATGTTGTATAGATATCATATTTATATTTATATAAATATACCCAGGGGACTCTTTGATGGACCAACTGCTGGTGCTTAAGAGGGACCGATTAAAAGACTTACACAGACAACTTAAGCCCGCAGACCAACTCTGCCCGGGGACGCAGAGGGCTGAGAATGTGGAGAGGCTCCGAGGGAGATTTGCAAAAGTGGGTGGAAAAAGATCCATTTGCAGCCAGGAAAAGAAGAAAAAAAATACGGAACAAAGAAGTAAAGACCTAAAGGTGTTTTTATCCGGACAGTGGTTGTGCGGTGTTGTTTGTGGTTTTGGCACCCCCGAGGCATCACTCCTAGCAGTTTTCTGGCCGTGTTTCCTGCTGGCCGCAGAGCCCAGCCAGGCGGCTGCGTGGCTGCAATGACATCTAGTGGCAATCGGGACTTCCAGGAGCCACCGCTCAACCCGTTTGCTTCCCTCCCATATGTCAAAACCATTGCAATAGTCATTTTTATTTAAAGTTTTTTTTTTTTTTTTTTTTTTTTTAATGCCTGGGATGTTCGCTTTTAGAAACATCTGTTCTTTGTTGCTGGTTTCACTAAATCTCAGCTTTTCTCTTCTCTTGACCCATAAAACTACAAAGATTCTGGCCCCAAAAGCTACCCCCTTTGCACAGCTCTGTGCTCCTCCTGGCGCTTTGAGGCTTCCAAAGCTCCCCAGTCGCCACCTCAGAGCCAACGTTTCGTCTCTGCTCTGCAAAAACCACATTTCATTTCTTCCCCCAGACCTCTCTGTTCCCTGCAAGACCCTTCCTAAGGACAGGCTACCGGTTCACAGCTCTGCAACTGGTGTAAAGTGAACACCAGGAAAGCAATAAGTGTCTTTTTTGGACCCAAAGCATCTCTGATGCTGAGTGTCTCACACCTCCTGGCCACACTGTGGTTCAAAACTGGCAAAACTGCTAAAATTCTGAAAATCAGCCTCGATCGCAGCCTGAAATTCAGAAGATGTTGCCTTAGAAGTAAATCCCCTGCAGCATCATTAAGGAGCAAAGGTGACCCACATCATTCACGGGCGATTTGAATACCACCATAGATCATATTGCATAGTTATATATTCTGTATATGCCATATATTCTTCAGAAGAGCCATTCTAGAAGTGCTTTTAAAACGCTACTAGTACCATATTTCATCTGCTTCTACCTATAAATCCAGGCAACCTGAGAAATATGATCTCAAAAAAAAAAAAAAAAAAGAGCCAAATTATTATCAAGGCCTTTTCAGAAATCTCTGCAATGACCTAAAATAACTTTTTCAGCCTGGCTATTTCTATTCAGCGATTTTTTTTCAGTTTTTAATTCTCCCATTTCATGATCTGCCAGAGTTAGAAAACGTGGTATGAAAATTGAGGCTGTATAAAAAATGCCATCTCTGTAGCTTATATTGTGTACATTGCCTTTCCATTTCACTTTATTGCATACTTTTGTTTTAGTTCATCAGTGAACTAATATGACAAAGTCCCTATGTTCATGTCTACTGGTGGAAACTGCCCTTTATCTGCTGTAGGCTGGAGGTGGAACCTTTCACTGAGAACAGCAAGGTGACAATTTATGCCTTTTTTTTTTTTTTTCTGATTTTCAACCAAATTCTCATGAAATGGCAGCACAATTCAGGTTGTGGGGTAGGTGGTGCACGTGCTCCACCGAACTCATTCCTGCAGCTACTGCTGAAGGAGGAATTGGGAAAAAAAGGGCTTGGAAACCAAGGCTCAAGTTCTCAGCAGTTATGGTTTGGAGCTGTGTTGTGTGTGCAGAAAAATCATCTTAGGAAATAGCAGATCTACCACCAGCCTTTGAGTTTCCTGGGCTGGTGGCTCCTTCCTATTAATGGTAGGAACTTCCACATACATTAATGTTAGAGGCTGTCCTTGAGGTTCAGCACCTTAACCAAGGCCACACCACACATTACAGTATTTTCTAATTCTCGCTCTGCTTATAATGCCCCCTAAAATATTTTCTTTTTCCCACCTTGTGTCCCTGGGAACAATATATATTTCAATTTAAAAGCATGAATCAAAAATGATAAAAAAAAACCCAAAGGAGGAGAGCATGACTTTTCTTGACACGTTTTGTAATTTGTGCTTCCTGCTAAGAATCCTGTGATGTGACATCCCCTCAAAGTCATGTTCATGGCACAGTGAGTTGAAAGCTCTCGCTTTGAAAATACAGGCAGCATCTGTGTTCTACAGCAGTTCCGATCTCCCCGTTGCGGCTCGTACCTCAGAGCGCATTGTGCAGCTGGTGGGGAACAACGAGATCAATTGCTCATTGAAGCATTTCACAGACAAAAGCGTCAAGGACGCGACTTCTGAGGAAAAACACTTGGGCAGGAGGCACGATATGTGCCCAGCATTGCAGAACGTCCCATTCTCCAGCTCCCCAAAGGCCTCGGCACTACTTCTCGTCCCTGCAGCCCTCTACTTTCCCCATGGGACCCCTTGATGCCCTTCCCACCACCTTCCATTCCTTCTGTGGCATTGGGACCTGCTATTATTTCTTTCATGGGAAGGTTGGCAGGGCAAGGGGGGATGACCTGGGACAGCCCTGGTCCTCCCTGGTGGCCACCACATTCCTGCTCTCCCACCTCCTTCCAGCCGGTTCCAAGCCCAGGTTCTCTTCCATCCCATTTACTCTAATGAATGTGATTCAGCCAATTAGGCTCTTTTTTTGCTTCAGTTCTGCAGCACTGTAGTGGACGGCATTAATACTCACGGCCTCATGGGATTAATTGCCTGTAAAGTCACTTGGAGACCTTGGATAGAAGCTCCGGCGATATTAATTATGGTTATAGATATTATACTGTTAAACAGAAGTTCACACATTTATTTGAAAAAAAAAATTCCAAATCCAAAGAGCTAAAGCCGACCCCAGGCTATTTAATTACTTCATTGCCCTTCATCAGCAAGGTGATGTCTCAGCAATATCTTTCTTCTCACGCTGCAGCATTTCTTCTCTCCAGCCGCTCCAAGCCCAGGCCCATGTCAGAAACGCAGCTCACTGACTCATAGAAGTCAGAGATAAAAAGACTTATTGTTCACTTGATAATATCTCCTTCTGCCTTTCCTACAACCCACATTTCTCCTTTTTTGAAATGCTTTAATTTTGTCCTCGTGCAATCAATCTGCAGGTGTAGAAAGTCAAGATGTGTAGGGGCTCAGAAAAGGCAGCAAAAACAGTGCAAAACTTTGCAGAAGTGCAATGCTCATTGCAAATATGACCTATTTGACAGGCAGTTTTCTTCTCAGCATGACATATTGCCTTTTAACTAATGATTGAATCGGAGGGCAAAATTAACCACTGTCTAGTGAATTGAATGATGTTGCACTGGGCATGTGC